ACTGTGTGATGGATGTCCTCCCCTGGGGTGGGATGGGTGGGAAGGTGAGATAGATAGACTGAAGTGGCTGCCAGAGGCGCCTGATATGCTAACGTCTGTTCTCAACCATACACTGCATCCGTAATTCAGCCTCTGGGTTACAAGTGGTCAGATATAAACTATATTCATATTCACTGCCGATGACCTGGAATGACGTCACTAGCCCCACTCTCTGGTTCACTTGGTCGTTCCAAAAATAAACCCGACTTTGAAAAATCATAAAAGATTGCGGTTTTAACCAAACACAAAACTTTTTGCGGCATTTTGCTCAGTGCAATAGAGAGATTGAATATGGCCTATATGGCCATATTTCTTAAAGTGCCTATAACCCCTATATGGGGTTATAGGCACTTTAAGGACTCTTTCAAGGCATCATGAATTGATTTCGTGTTCTCTTTCACCTAAACATGGCCATTCATCTTTTTTAAAGCTTGCCCATGATCTAATAAGAAAGGATTGTAGGGTCTTAGCGCGCGGAATGTTTTTTTGTTTTTCTCATTCAATCAATCAATCAATCAATCAATCAATCAATCAGTCAATCAATCAATTCATTTCTTGGGTGTCTCTTTGTGTAGTCGCTGTTTCTCGTCGTTCGTTAATATTTTTTCGCTGGTTAGTTAGCTTCTGTTGTTTCTGTGTCGTGTATTTTCGTTCATTAGTTTCTTTCATAATATCGGCGTTAATTGCACTTTAAGTTAGCTAGTCGTTTTCGCAAATATAACTTAGTCTTTCTCAGTTCACACTTTTAGTCTTCCGTTAGCCATACAGTAGTTCGCTTTGAGCAGCTACTCCAGTTTATCCTTATTTCGCCTTTGGGCAGTTTATATTCGTCCAGCAGTTTCGTAGAAATCGTAACAATGTAAGTATTGTCATTTCAGTCAAGTTTGTTTAGTGGTTCAGTGTATTTCTTTCCTGTCACTTTTACTAGTCAATTATTGTAATTTCGTATTCATTTATTGTTTTAAGTTTCAACCCATATACCGTCAACATCATTGGTACCGAATAAATCGTCTTTATCTTCGTGGTGTTGTGAGGTTACGATTACTGCAGTCACAAGGATCTTGAGTCAAATTACTGCCTGAAATATCTGCTGGAGGACAAATATATGGATACTTTGCAGCCGCTGACTGCAGTAATTATGCCCAGCCCGGCTACTGAATTTGCTACTGATTGGTTGGCTTATACCAGGACTTATTAATGTATGCAGCTACAAAAAAGGGCATCTCTAGATTTGAGGGCAAATAGACACGTGAATGAAGAGCTGTCAAGTTTGTGCGTCAGTGAGAGGGAATGTCTCAGATGGTTACACGGAAGGAAGAAAACGACATGACTGTGGATGGAGTGGAAACCCATACAGACCTTGTGACTTGCACCACGCAGTTGACATCCAGTATTCAACAATGGTCTGTAAAACGTCGAGAAACGATTCAAACATTGCGAAGCCTGGCAGACGAGCTTATGGAACATTACAAAAATGTCCACATCGCCAAGATCTCGGGTTCATCAGCATCAATCGGAGGCTTTGCGTTAGTTGCTACTGGGTTCGGTTTGGCTGCTGTCAGTCTAGGAACTTCTCTGATTCTCTCTGCAATCGGAGGAGCGATCTGCGCCGGCGGTGGTGCAACCGTTGCTGGTTCCAGCATCGTACAATCGAAAATATTCAAAACAAAGCTCGCGACAGCGCAAGAAATCATCGACGCCGATCGCAAAGCACAGGAACCTGTGCAAAAGCTTTTGAAAGACCTCTGTCGTGAAGTATCCAAAGAATCATTTGGCAGCGTCAAAAATCGTCTTGCTTGCAATGTAAGTGTCGCATTGTTGGTGAAAAACCTCGTCGATGTGGGTAATGGTGTGAATATGACCGGCGTTAGTGTGGCTACGACAATGGCAAGCGAGGGTATGGATGGAATACTCCGATCTATAGGTATAGCTGGCAACACCGCTCGGATTGGAATATTCGCAGTGAGCATTGCGCTTCTCCCTTTGGACATTTATACTATGGTGACATCCTTTACAGAGATTGACTCTGTTCGAAAGGGAAAGAAAGAAAAAGAGCCAGAGGCGGTGAAAAAACTAAGAGAGCTGGCAGACAATTTGGAGAAGGAAATGAATGAGATACTTCAAGCTGTCGAAGAATTCCAGCGAAACAAACCTGAATAACTGTTATTTGGAGAAAAATATGAACAATACACTGCAGAGGCAAATCCCGCGCTAGTGGCGTCTATAGTTGTTATGGTTGTAACGATTACGGATAAACATTAGCCGACACAATTTTGTACGGAGTTCGTCAGTTTATTGCTAGGGGTGTTTTTATTCTGGCGCCATGAGTAGATAGAAAAAGAAAAACATACACAAAACGATGAACAACTGATAAAACGGTAGATTGCTGGATTTTTGGGCTTTCATCGACGGAATCGATGAGTGACATGAATTTTCAAAACAAAAACTGACGATCACATAATTTACATTTGTGAACGAGGGCACCAGTAAGTTGTCACGTTGTTACGGTAACTAAGGCAAAAGGGAAGAATTTACGGCTAAAGGAATAAATGCGATTTCGTGAGGACAAGCAAGGACAAAACGGAACGATTATTTTATGGGTACTTTATTTATCAACTGTTGAAAAAAAACATCGACTGCGATAGTAGTGAGATCTATTAATTTATCTCTCCATGACAACCACCTGTCTTTATGTACTATTTTAAGACAAGAGTATGAGAAGTAGACCTGTCACTTAGCTCAGCTACTTGCACGACTTTTTTTTCATTTCGATTCCGTTAATAAAACACCCAGCAGAAATAGCGGCTGAAAGTCAAAAGCACCTAGTATTAACTCCACAAATATACGCAAGCCTCAAAATAAGCATCTTTTGGCTGAGAATCGATCTACGAAAGATTGAGCTTGCAGTCACATATTGTTGGGAAAAAGACAGATATATGCAAGGCTAAGAATGATTTTATGTGTTCCCACAGTCATACAGACTTCTGTAAGTGTGATACTTATCTCTGCGATTTCCCTGGCTTTAACTTTTCGGTCAATGAAGATTTACTTTGCTACACTGTGAAGGTGATCTTCTCATCTCAATTTTTTGTTTAATTCAGTCGCCTTTTTGAGAAGGGCTCTTTAGAGGACTAGCAGGGTGGCGAGGGCATGAACACACAGCAACTTGATACCAAGATGACCCGTTTCAGTATATACCTAAACAGTGGATAGGGTTAAAGGTGCACTCTGATTGGCTACTCAAACTCAGAATATCCTCAGGACCGTAGCTAGCATGAGGCAAGACGAGGCAATTGCTTCGTCTTAATTTTGGCCTTTTTTAATTTTTTTCTTAAAGATTGACTTTTCTGAAGAAAAATGCCACGGTAAATCCTTAAAAGAGCATTTCTAAACCTCTAGATTACAAAGTTTTCTGGGGGGGGGGGCATGCCTCCAGACCCCTCTAGCAGCTCGCCCCTTCGGCGCTCGAAACTTGCCTCGTCTTGTCCTGAAATCTGGCTACAGCCCTGATCCTTTGCTATTCACCTCCAAGCAACTCGCCTGTTTGGCATTCCCAGGGGGTAATAATGAGTTCAAATCATTTGTGCTTTATTATATCAGTGTTTTAGGATATACTAAAACAACTATCCATACCTAGCACCGAGGTAAACAGTTGTTAGAAATCTTTACGTCAGTATACATATTCTTCATACTGTATCCTTATATTTCATTTATACCAATGAGGCAAAATTGCTTATCAATCAAGAGGTACTTCAGTTGGCGACACTCACTTTATTTTCAGGACCTTAATGATTGATTAAGCGGTGATACTGTGAAGAAAAATAAGATGCTAGTCTCTCTAAGGGGGCAACTGAAAAGGGTTAACACATGGATACTGAAACAAATGTTTCTGTGTTCATTTGAACTATTTCTCATCAGATCACGTTTTGTCGATATTCATCTACAACTCGAAGCCAACACCGTGAAGAATCATGGACAGGTTCAAGTTTTTCTTATATAAAGACTAATGGCATTTGCGGTTGACAACTGCGGGACCCTCTTCATCATACTCTTGCTTGGAGATCCACATGGACTGAAAATCCGATAACGAAGCCAAGATTGATCCTCCAATCCACGCAGAGTACTTAGGCTCAGGAGGAACAATGACCTTGACCTTTCTTGTAGGTGAAGCCTCGGCAATTGCAGTGATCTCCTTCCGCATTCTTTCACGAATTCCATTGAACATAGTGGAGCCACCAGACATGACAATATTTGCGTACATTTTATTTCTGATATCTTCGTTACACTTCATGATGGACTCAGATATAAGCTGATGGATGCCGGGTGACAACGATGAGCCAGTGTCAGCCAGTGAAGGCTGGAACAGGACCTCGGGACATCTAAATCTCTCGTCGCCCAGAGTGACAAACTGACCATCAGGAAGCTCATAGCTCCTCTGCAAGCCGGATTCAGAGGCAGCAGTACTCATCTCCTTTTCAAAGTCCAGAGCGACATAGCATAGCCTCTCTTTAACATCTGTTGCTATCCTGTGCTCGGTTAGAGTAATGCCCCGCTCGCTCAGAATTTTTGTGAGGTAATCAGTCAAGTACTTACCCGCCAAATCGAGACTCGAAATGTTCTGGCGAAGAGCGAAACCTTCACTAATTGGGACCGCGTAACTAACGCCGAAACCACTCTGCAAAATGATACCATCCTTATGGCCAGAGGCATAGAGAGACAGGACAGGTGCTGGAGCTAAATAAATCGCTGGTGTATGGAAGGTCTCGAGCAGGATCTATAGAATTAAAGAAACAAGACATTCACTGCACTCAAGCACTTGCCCCCCACTCCCCTCTGGCATTCTTTAGAGCTCTGCCTCTCTGTATTTTCCACTCCTCGCTATCACCTTAGCCAATTTTTTCGTCTCTATCCTATATCAGTTGCAAAATGTTTCGGTAAGCATCGCTGAAAAGTTTGGGCGCACTTTTTTTAGGTCGAAATGGGTAACAACGGAAATGCTTTCCTGGCGAACTAGACACTTAGTGGATTTGCGTGAATTTCCTGCCGCCTTATTTGTGCTCTTCCCTCGTTCTAAGACCTATAAATTTCTATTTAGACATTAGCGAATATTTCATTGACGGAAAAACTGCTAAGACACTCTGATCATTGCTCAACATTCTTCTATAACTCGAAATTCTTGGCTTTAGGTATCGAGTGGGTCTGATGTCTAGATCGCGTGACTGAACTGACAGTTCATGTAAGTTGTTCACGCACATCTCGGTCTGTGCAAATTGAGGATATCTGTTTATGCTTCATGAATTATTCCCAGTTACCTCAGTTGTCTTCTCTCTGTTTACTTGTGGGTTAATTGGGGCTTCTGTCAGTAAAATTGGGCGTTCTTCGGGACTTGCACCTAGCTTGGCGAAAGTGTACTTCCAGATCTGTAACATAACATTCATATCTTAATAATTACTTTAACCTCTTTTTGTCAAGTCCTTAGGAAATTAGAATTCAAATCACCGTCTCCATGTCATCCCAGCTCGTTATGATCGAATTCTCGATAGGGTATGTAAGATCCAGATCGCTTCTTTGATCCAAGGCATCAATTCCGACCAGCGGATCTTCGCGATCTGCTCGTTCTTGTAATTTTGCGTACTTTGGACGACCAACGACAGTGATAAACTCTGTCTGAGGAGAATCTTCCTCGGCAAATCCCGCTTTTATTGTATCAGACCCATTATCCAAAACAACAGCTTTGGCGAGCGACATTCTGTTTTTCGCTAACCTTTGCTTTTTGTTTGTCACTAGGAATCATTAAGAGGACTCTGGGAAATTATTGCGTGACAAGGATTGTCACGTAAGAGTCTGTATCTCTATTCAAAGATGTGCCCTCGAAACCCACCGCCGGAACTCATTCGGAATTTTTCTACGTCCCTAATTTCCCTTAAAGCTTTTCTAGTTATCATCCCTTAGGATCTGAAAACCAAACTTCATTTCCTTGATATGACAGTTTTTATTCAAGTTTCTTCTCAGTTTTGTTTTGTTTTTTTTGTTTCTCAAGCAATTAATACTCATTACAGTGGGGGAAATTATGCATCAAGAGAAAAAGAGTAAAAAAATCACTCAAAGAGAAATGTCCTTTTTACTACAGTGTGAAGTCTGTTAACTTTTTCGGCGTCACAACACCCTCTATCGAATAAAACATCCAGTTGAGAGAGTTCTTTAGTTTTAGCCAGCTGAAGCAATGTGTAAATGATACTCAGCGATTTCCACCTGAGGTCTAAGAATGGGGCTTCTGTAAGAAAAAAAAAAAGATTATTTCACTCACAAAATTTCTTCCTATTTAATCTGCTCAGCGATTATTATCTAGGTTGGATATTATCTTTTAGGTGGACACCAATATAAATTTTTTTCACCAGACTTATTTTATCATGCACTTACCAGATGATAAGGTGATAGGAGGTAATAGTTGCAGTAAGTACTTGGCTAATTTTCCAACAACATGTTTATCTGGTAAATTCAGGATTGTATGAAGGAGGTCGGCATTGTCAATAACCTCCAGCATCCGAGCTGTTATCATCACATCATCAGTTGATTTGTCCATCTTGAGTAATACACCCAGATATTCTGTCAGTGTGTCTTGTTTCTCTAATATTGATAAAACATTCCATGTTGCAGGACACTTGAATAGCTTCCCCAGACCATCCAGAGCTACCTGTTACATCAGAAATGTGTGTCATGGTTATGAGGTACACTTACTTGTGATTGGAGACACACTCTATTTTGGAAAGTTTCTAAAAATGAGAGTATATTTTACAAAAACTTTTACATAACAAGACCACCAAAAGTAAGAGAAAAAGTAGTACAACAGTTGGACTGTTAAAAGTTTTATGGTAATATCAACTAAGTTGAAATTGTAAATTGGCCACAGTAAAGAGTTAAAAAGCTGATGTTTTGAGCATTAGCCCTTTGTCAGAGTGAATGGAGGAATTGTGGGTTGTGTGTGGGCTTATATGCAGAAAGTAAAGCAACGCTGTTGGTGGGAGCATGGTGACGAGAAAAACACGAATAAAAAGTTTAAAAGTTTTAAAGTTCTATATTACAGTTTTGGCATGTTGATGTGGATTTTATCTTCTCCTTCGTAACCTTCCTCCACCTTTATTACCATTTGATTTCTTCTCACTACTTTGGTCTTTGTCAATGCTGAGCCTGCAAACGAGCTATGGAAGGAGGGGTGGGGAAGGGAGGGGGACTGGTGGTGTTATAGCTTACTTAGTTGATGGTTTTGTGGGGGGTGGGGAGAGGGGGTTGGGCTGGCAGTGCTGTAGGTTACTTAGTTGATGGTTTTTTGTGAGCTTAGAGGATTTGGGTGGCACAGCTTGAGAGCCCACTTGAAGCTTAGCTACTTATTTTCAAGGCCTTGACAAATTTTTTTCTATAGAGCCCCCCACAACCAACAACTAGACAGGCCCGCAGTGCCAAGGATGGTAAGATGTTAACCAAATCCTCAAGGGCCTGTTATCATCCTAAATTCATTGTGCATGCTTAATAGCAATTCCCAAAATTACCACATGACAAATGATATTAAAGCATTAAATACTTGAGG